GCAGCAAATGCTGGTGGGCGAGTGGTTTTGCCGAATGCTCCCCTGCTCAGCACCAGGCCCGAGGAAACGGATGTGCAGGGGAGATGACCTGGGGGCTGTTTGCATTATGAATTTATGGAGCTTTCTGGCAATGAAAGGGAGCAAAGGGTCGTCTTCTCCTCTGGGGCTGGGCTGTGCTGGTTTGTGCAGACGCAGATGTGGCGGCCGTGGGGAATGGCTGGAGGCCGGGCTGCCGGGGAGGGAGCTTGACAGCTTGCGCTGGAGGCTGTAACACCGAGAGGGACCCCCCACCATGAAGAACTGGAGGCAGGGGCACCAGGGTCCCAGCACAAGCTCCATCATTTCTGGGGTTTGCTCCAGACCCAGGGTAGGGGCTATTCTTTCCATTTTCTGTGGTCCCATGGTGTTTAATTTTAGCCCTTGTGAATATACCCAGCAAGGCCTCATTTACCCCCAGGCTGAATGGTGAAGTCACACGGCATCTGGGTTGGTTTAAACAGCACATCCACCAGAGAGGTGAGGAGGGACCTGGGAAGGACAGGAGCGATGGAGGCCGTGCTGTGTACCCTGCCTTGGAGGTAGAGACAGCCCTGCGGACACATCGGTGCTGGGGATGGCTTCTCCTCTGTGCAACAGATCCCAAATGTCTCTGCCCCCAACAGACACAGGACTTGGACCCACCAGTGCTCTGTTCCTTGGCTTGAACTCTCAGGGAGAGCACTGCCTGCCAGGGAGCCTTGGCCACTGCAGTGGAGGATGTGAGGTCACGGCGTGTTCCTATGATGTCCGGTGAACCAGCAAGCGTGTGCCAAAGGAGAGTACAGACATGTTTTGCTTGGCTTGGGGTGCTTTGGTTTGTAACAGGGCCCCAAAGGTCGGTCACGTCTCTCGGTGGCCTGCGCTGTGGTGCGTGGGGCACATTCCCAGGCGTTTGGGAGTGGCACAGCAGTGTGAACAAAGGCAGCGGAGGAGGTGGTGGGGAGAGGGGCTTCTTGTGCCAGCGTGCCGCTGGCTCAGCGGGCTGGGGCCCTTTCCTGGCAGCTGGGGCTGGCAAAGGAAGGCAGTGCAGCGACCGGCTGTCCTGGCTTGTGTCAGCTTGATGGAAGCTGGCTCACGAGTGTCAGGAGCATGTGGATGGGGCTGTGATGCCTCCAGGAACTCCCTCAGTCCAAGCATCTTGTCTAATTAAAGGATTTTAGCTTCTCACAACCCAGAAATCCACTAGCCTCCTTCAGTAGCCCTCCCAGCCCTCTATACCCTCTTCAGCGCCCTCCAATCCTGTGCATGTTTGCTCTGCAGTGTAGAGTCCTAATGAAGATGGTGAGTGGTGTAGAACTTTGAGCAAGGCAAACACCAGGCTCAGGAGGCTGCTCAGGCTCCTTAAGTGTGATGTTGATGTTGGTACACCAGCAGAGATGGTGGCACATGCCTGTTGCAGGGCCCGAACATGGCTGGGATGGGAGCACACATTGGTTGTCTCAGAGCCAAGATGAGGAGCCGTGGGTCTAGGCTGGATGTGGTGCAGGGATGGTGCTGTTCCTGAGAGAAGGCTGTTAGAAGAAGGGGATCCCTCCCCACAAACTCCCCTGCATCTCTTGCCTTCAGCCTTGGCAGACACACTGGCCACCGACTCCCAGCAGGGCCCAGCGGTGCATCCATGGCTGGTTGGAGAGGCACGGCTGGGGACAGAGCTTTCACCTTGCGACTCTGGCTGCCTCCCACTGTGACAGAAGCTCCTCTCTTGGTATTGCACTCGGCACTGACCTTCCTTACTGCGAGGGAAATGACCGCATCAGTCACGGGTAAAGGGCAGTGTCCTGCGCCAGCTGCGAGTTGCTCATTTCAAATGTCATGATTCCACCGAGCTGCGGGAAGGTAACCAGAGGTACAGCAAATCCACGCTTTCTTGGTTGGGCTGAACAGAAATGAGAGATCAGGTTCAGCCAGTTACACTTGGCTGAAGTAAGCGGAGTTTCACCAGTGCTCAGCTCCCCAGTGTCTCCATTGTCAGCCCTTAGTCATGCAGGTTGAAAAACAAAGAAAATAACAGAAACACACCCTGAGCCTCAGCTATGGTTTTATTAGTGCATTATTAGTACTATTTCATGTGTTAAGTCACTGGAGAGAGCAGGTGATCGTTGTCTTTCCAAAGTCTGGTAAAGATCAGGGCAGGTCTTTTCCTGCTCCAACGCAAAGCGTAGCTATGTGAGAAGCACAAGGGGAAGGATGTTGTGTGTTTGTGCCACGCACTGAGCGACACTGGTCCTTGCGCTGCAAGGAGGAGGCTGTTTCATGCACACGTTGGATGTGTTCATGGATGTGTTTCTCAGGGAAGCAAAGCAGCCAAGAGGCAGCCCTGGCACCGAGGGACACAGGCTGGAAGCAGTCTTTTTACTCTTGTTTTCTTGATCTTACCATTGTCACATTTCTCACCCTGCTTTGCACACTTCGTGTTTACCCTTTACGAAGCATTTTGGATGGAAGTCCACAGTGTCCCCCAGGCAGGCGTTGCTTTGCCACATGCACCTCATCAGAGCTGCCGTCACTTTTCACCCCAGGGTCTCACTGCTGCTCGCTGCACCACTGCTTTGGGATGCCAGTACCTCTTAGCTCGGCCATTAGAGCTGCCAGGGGAGCGCTTTGGGCACTGTCTAATTTAATTTGCTCTGTCCTTTCCTGCCTTTTTGGGCTATGGGGTGGTGAAACAGAGTTGCTTGAGCCACGTTAGCAAGGAGGTGAGGTGAAGCAATCCAGAGCTCACAGTCACTCTGTCTGTCAGGGCTAAAGTGACCAGGTCTGAGACCCAGACCAAACCTAAATTTCCAGAAGGCAAGTGGCCGTGCTAAATAGCAGAGTCCTTGGGCCACAATGGCTGTAAGCCATGTCTGTCCCGTTGGAGTGGGCAGCTCCAGAGCAGCCATAAATTGGGAGGAGGAGACTCTGTACCGTCCCTGCTGTCAGTCCCCTGCAGTCTGCCTGGCTGAGGATGCCCGAGGATGCTCACACATGTGGACAGAATTACAGAATCACAGAATGGTAGGGGCTGGAAGGGACCTCTGTGGATCACCTAGTCCAACCCTCCTGCAGAAGCAGGGTCAACTCCAGTAGGCCGGAGAGCAGGCGGGTCTTGAATATCTCCAGAGAAGGAGATTCCACCACCTCCCTGGGCAGCCTGTTCCAGTGCTCCGTCACCCTCAGAGTGAAGAAGTTCTTCCTCATGTTCAGACGGAACTTCCTGTGCTTCAGTTTGTGCCCATTGCCTCTTGTCCTGTCGCTGGGCACTACTGAAAAGAGCTTGGCCCCCTTGGACGTGCAGCCAGAGGCTGTGGAGGGCTGCTCAGGAGCTGCATTGGCCACTTGCAGTATGGAAATAGGTGTAAGTCAGCATTGCCCTGAGCTCGACACACCAGATCATAGCTTGTGTTTCTTTGAGTGCGTGTCCCAGAATTAGAGGTAGTTAAACTTAAGAACAGGGGTCTTTCCTGCTGTGCCTGGAGATCCAGTGCCAGAGAGCTGCAGGGTGAGGACAGCTGTATGCTGGAAGGTATCCATGGCCGGGTGGGAGCTGGGGATGGTTTTGAGGAACTCCTGGCTCTGTGGGTTTGCCTGTGGTGTGAATCCCAGGGTTATGTTTATTTTAAGTGATGCTGAAAAGCGGAGTCGGTGATGTCTCTAGCTCAGGCATTTGTGAATGGCTGCTTCCCCTTGGGTCTAGCTTGGAAAGTATGTGAGAAGCGAGGTGTTTGTCAAGGTCCGTGCCCACCCTCCCTCTGCGATGGGGCCTGGGGAGGGGAATGCACTGGTGTGAAGGTTCAGGCTGTGAAGGCCCAGGGGTGCTCAGGTAGAAGCTGGATGGATGGAGCGTCCGGGCAGTGTGGCCCACAGCTACCTGCAGCCACCCGAGCTGTCAGCACCAGACTGTGTGCTGAGCCCAGCGTGGGGGCAGTAGCTGGAGCAGGTCTGTGAATGCCGTAGACAAGCCGTGTTCACCTTTCGGGACGTACCCTGCCCGAGCAGGGTGTGTGCCCCTGGGATGCAGCGCAGGCTGTGCGTTTGCCTCTGGCTGCGGGGTGCATGCTGTGCGCTTGTGAAACACGCCATTGGACTTGTCACTCCTTGCGTGCACTTAGTGCGCTTGTACAGAGTGTGTGCCACGCTTGTTGTGGCTTTGGCATGGCAAGAGTGCTCAGTGACGGAGGGCTGCGTCTGGGAGGTGGTTAGGCAGTACGTAACGCTCCAGTAACACCATATGTAATACCCTCACCAAAAGCATCTCACCTGTGTTATCAGTACTTTTGCACCTTCCCACTTTCTGTGCTCCTTGAGCTTCTGTCTCTTCAGAAATAACATTAGGGATTATTGAGGATTTTCTCTTACTCAGGCAGGAGTGGCTGTGACACAGCAAGAAATAATCCTCTCTCAGGTCAAGCAGAAGCCAAGCCACTGCGCCTTCCTCTAGACACAGCTCAGGACACCACAAGCCCTGGGGTGCTAATTGCAGAGACCTCTCCATCACGTACTGCATGTGCCTCTGGAGGGAGAGATGCAGAAATGGCTCTGAAAGACCTGGGGAGAGGTGACATTTGGTGATCCTGCTGCGAAGGGAGCCTGTGACTGCAGGATTAGCAAAGAGTTAGGAAAGTTGTGTGTCAGTAGCAGCCCCAGATGTGCTCTCTGGTGGGAACGGCAGGATGTGACTTTTGTCTTGTGTTCTCCATGCTGGGATGCTGCTGCAAACTGCCGTGTTGGCTGGAGAGAGCAGCCAAGCAGGGCTGCAGCTGAGGGGAGGTGGCCCTCCATGCCCACCTGCGGGAAAGGCAGGAGTCCCTGAGCCTAGAGGAGGTGCGTACCCTGCCCCGCACCGCTGCCAGGGCAGGGACCAACCTCTCCTCCACCCCTCACCTCCGGGACTGTTGAGTCCAGCTCCCTGTCACTGTATGAGGCTTGAGCGGGAGGGGTGGCACGCCCTGACCTGCTCTCTCTGCCTCTGCCCCGCAGGACCATGAGAAGCAGTACGTGGGCTTTGCCACTCTGCCGAACCAGGTCCACCGGAAATCCGTGAAGAAGGGTTTTGACTTCACCCTGATGGTCGCAGGTGAGACGGCTCATGGATGGAGGTGGCTGGGCCACACGGTGGGTGCATGGAGGGGACCAGCTGTCCTCACTTCCCTTAGGTGCTGCCTTAGTGTCTGGATCCTCCCCTCACTCTGTTCTGGTCCTTGTCTCAGACCTTGCTTTGCTCCCCAGCCTGTGTTGCACTCGGACAGTTCCCCCAGGAGGAATGGGTGTCTTCTGACTGCTCATAAGCCGCTCAAGCAAGCTTCTCCTCAAAACAGAGTGGCTGGTCTGGGTGGTGAAGACAGAGGATGGAGGAGCTGGGAGATCACGTTTGTGCAAGGATTGAGACATCTTCCAGCAGAAGTCCTCCCACTGCTGCAAAAATGTAATGCCCATAAACAGCTTCTGACAGCTCATCTCTCTCACCTCCTCTGGCTCAGGATTCAAAGCCTTTTTCAGAGTTTCATTTATAAGTCAATTAGTGGTCATGTTGCTTGCTTTTCCCTCCTCCCCTTTGCACTTTTGTCAATTAGGAGAGTCGGGTCTGGGCAAATCCACGCTGGTGAATAGCCTGTTCCTGACAGACCTCTACAAAGACAGAAAGCTCCTCAACGCAGAGGGTAAGTTGGGGACAAAGCGGGGTGAACAGTTCTTGTGCCCGCAGGTCTAGACTGTCCTTAAGGACCAGTACTTTGGTTCCTTGCTTCAGCAGCAGCTACAGGCTTGGCTGGATCCCAGCCCTGTGGTTTGTTGCTCTGTTCTCTTTTGCTGGCTGCAGAGGCAAAAAGGGTTTGGCTGTAGGGCTCTTCTGTCCTACGAAGGCAAGATGCGGCTACAGAGCAGCACTAGCCCTTTGCGTTGAGATGTTGAGTTTTGTATTTTGTTCTTGGGTGCTGGAGTGGGGTAGGGATTCTTCTTCCCAAGTGACTGGACAAAATGTTCAGAATAGCTGGGCTACAAGCACTTCAGAGGTTTGTGTATCTTCTCGGAGTCTGTCTGCCTGCTGCTGGCCTCCCACAGTACCACTCCCTTGAGGCTCCTTAGAAGATGATCAGGGTTTTTGAAACCCAGGTTACTCCCTGTGCTCAGTGATAAGGAGAGAGCTGGCTTGTTGTGGGTGTGAGCAGGGTTCCTCAGTTACTGCCTGGGTTTAACTCTCGTATTCCTGTTCAAAGAGAGAATCAACCAGACAGTGGAGATTGTCAAGCACACAGTGGACATTGAGGAGAAGGGTGTCAAGCTGAAGCTGACCATAGTGGACACACCAGGATTTGGAGATGCTGTTAACAACACTGAGTGGTGAGCAGGCCACCGCTGCCTTCCTCCTAGTCCTTGGCCACATCTGCTTTCTGTGGGTGCTTCACAGGAAGGGGGTCTGGCAGTGGGCAGGGGGTGATAACTGCCATGTGGTCCCTAGGAGACAGTGTCCTGTTAAACACATGCTGTTGTTTTAATTGAATTATCCTTCCCAGCTGGAAGCCCATCACTGACTACATCGACCAGCAGTTTGAACAGTATTTCCGCGATGAGAGTGGCCTGAATCGGAAGAACATCCAGGACAACCGAGTGCATTGCTGCCTCTACTTCATCTCACCCTTCGGGCATGGGTGAGAGCCCCAGCTGTGGGGCCGGGTGTGACTCAGCCCGGAGCAGAGACCCTTGTGCCCCAGGATTGCCCCGTGGCGGCTTGTACGTTGGCAGGGCTGTTGGCACAGGGGCAGAGCCATGCCGCTGCTCTCCCTCGGCTGAGCATCACACCACCTCCCGTGCCCTCGCTGGCACGACAGGCTGCCTCTCATCTCCCTCAGGCCTTACAGCCTGCTCTGGGAATCAGGAGAAGCAATGCCGCACAGACTTGTGTATTCCTGTCTAGCTAAGCCCGACTGATGGGTGGGACAGGGAGCTGGCCTGCAAGGGAGCAAATGCCCAGCCTGTGCCTGTGTGAGACGTTCAGCAGCAGAAAACCCAGACAGCTTTCCTACAGATACAGCCCTAGCTGAGGGCTGTCCCAGGGCTGCCCCAGGCTCTTGTGACAGTGCTGTCCCTTTCCCTTCGTGCTGGGTGGGTGGGAGAGGCTGGAGGGGAGCTGCCCAGTCTTTGCTAAGTTAGTCCTTGCTAACCGTGTCCCTCTGGGTCCCTGCTGCAGGCTGAGGCCTGTGGATGTCGAGTTCATGAAGGCTCTGCATGAGAAAGTCAACATTGTGCCCCTGATTGCCAAAGCCGACTGCCTGATCCCCTCCGAGATCCGGAAGCTCAAAGAGAGGGTGAGATGCCCTTTCTCTACAGGGGTATACCTGGTGTGGGGGCAGGGATGTGTTGCGGAGGGAGAGGAGCAGGATACCTCAGAGGCAGACAGAGAGATAGATATATATATATGTATAAAATAAATATAGTGCATGTGTGTGCGTGCATGTATATGTATATATATACACACAGAGAGTACCTGCAAATGTAATTGCGGCAGCGCTCTGCTGTGAGAAGGGAAGTGGTGTCTGCAGAGAGGCCACCTCTTGAGCAAACATCAAATGCTTTTGCCATCTGTAGGCTGTAGCAAACGCATGGTACCACAAACAGGGAATAAACCCAGCATTTCTGTACTGTTCAGTGTCGCATCCTTTTGTTTTTGTTTTGCATGGACACAGATCCGGGAAGAGATTGACAAATTTGGCATTAAAGTGTACCAGTTTCCTGAGTGTGACTCTGATGAAGATGAGGAGTTCAAGCAGCAAGACAGGGAGCTGAAGGTAAGGAACCTGCTCAGCAGGGGACTGGGAGGTCTGGCTCCTGGGTATGTCAGTTGCTCCAGAAGGAGCCAGAGCTGCTCTCTGTGTGCCAAAGGCCTGTGCTGCTGATACCCAGGAGACAGCCTACGTTGCCTCGCATGGTAGATCCCCTGGAGAAGGTGCTGGTGTCCTTGCTAGCACCTTGAAGTCAAGTGTGGCATGATGAAGACATGGCACTTCTGCTCCCCCACCAGGCAGTGTCAGTCTTTCCTTGGTCTACCCCAGCCTGGAGGGAGTCTGGGTTGCGCAGCATTCGTAAGCACCTATTTCTGAATGATGCCATCAGCGAGGAGGAGCAATTTGTGGGTGATGAGGCACCACTGTGACACATTAGTTGCATTTGGGGAGACAATATGACCATACAGGCCTGTCTGCAGGCCCCAGCAGCCCAGGCCTGACCCTGTCCCAGGCTGAGCCAGCCCTGCATGTGCATGCAGTATGGCCTTGTTTCTCCTGTCAGAGGGGGGCAATGGGCTTTCCCTTCTGAGCAGAGAGGAGCTCAGCCTGTACCTCCCTGCCTGGACAAGCTCTTGGCCTACACTGTCCCACTTGCTAGGTGTCCAAGCCTCTCTGCTCTGGCTTCCTTGTAGAATTTCTCCTCAAAGAAGGGATGCAGCCACCCGCAGAGACACAGCTTCCCTCAGGACAGCTGAGGTCAGGCTGGGAATCAGGCTACCTGCAGATCCCAGTGCCTTAGGCTTTTCTCTGCAGCTGGGTTGTGGTGTCCTCTGCTGTGGCACGTGTGGGTATCCCTGTGCCTTTCCTACCAGCACATTCCTCCTCCTGTTCACCTCCACCTGAGCTTGGCCCTTGGAGGAGGGATCCGTGGGCAGCTCCTGGCCCTTGGAGTAGTGATCTGTGGGCAGTTCTGGGCTGAGCTGGGCTCAGCGATGCCTCTCATTCCAGGAGAGCGCTCCCTTTGCCGTCATCGGTAGTAACACTGTGGTGGAGGCGAAAGGCCAGCGAGTCCGTGGACGGCTCTACCCCTGGGGCATTGTGGAAGGTAAGCGTGGTGCTTGGGAGCTGGCGCTGTGAGCGGGGGTGTGCAGGGACCGGGGGAAGGACAAGGAGACATGTGCACAGGGACGGCAGGGAGGTGCTCACCTCTGCACAGCCATGACTGACTGCCACCTTTGGCACATGGCAGGGGACAAGGTAGGCTAGAGACAGACACTGGGACCTGCTCAGGAGGACTGTTACTGGGGGTGTAGCAATCACCCGGCCTCTGAGGCCTTGACAGAGCGAAGAAGAGAGGATCCAGTGTGAATGGAATAATGTCTGGGCTTTAATGCACTAAGATATGCCTCCTTATTACAGGAAGAGGCTGGGCATTGCCAGTTTAGTTGCCGAGCAGAAGCATTGCCCTCAGCCACACTGTATCATAAACCCTCCTGCACTCTCGTTGTCTCCTACTGCTCCTGTATGTGCTGCAGTTGCTGGGCTGGTGGCTATGCTGATGCACGTGTTTGTCTCTAACTTTCTTCCTTTCTAAAGGGAGAAATTTCATAAAACCCGTAGGCAGAATAACCCTAGAATGGCTTTTGCTGCTGTTGCTGACTCCCCCATGCTGGCACGTAGCATTAAGGTCTTCTAGCTTTAGATCCCCAAAGCCTGTGTGTGCACTTGTGGGCTGGTGCTGGCTGCTTGGGCTGCCCAGCTGCTGGCTCTGCTCTCTCGGTGGCTCCGGAGGCGGCTGTGCCTGTTGGGGTGCTGGCGTTTGGTCCTGGAATCAACTTTGTGAAACCTGACACAGCTGGCTTCCCTCAGCCCTGCAGAGAGGTAATGGAGATCACCACGGCAGGCACACCACTGCGAAGCTCAACGCTTCCCTGCAGAGTCTCACAGCGTTGCCTGGTGCCTGGCTTGCTCTGGTAACAGCAGCTCTTTCAGCTCTCCAGACCATTACCTGCTCATGGCTTTGCCCCTCAGAGGCTGAGTCAAGTCACTGGGGGAAACCATCATGCTTACAGCAGCTTTTCAATCAGTCACAGATTCTGAGGAGATGAGCAGTTTGCTTCCAGCACCCATTGTGGTTCTAACGACATCCCGTGTACCTGGGAGCAGCATCCTCTTTTAGGGCTCTGCTGTACATGCTTAATTAATCCTCTTACCCAGAAAAAGTCCTGGGAACACAGTGACCTCATCAGCCTGGCCTCAGCACGGAGAAGCACAGAGCATCATCGAGGCCTGTGCCCCGGCCAGGAGGAGAGCCCCAGGCACTGGCGAGGAAGAGTGGGGAGAGGATGGGGAAGGGACCCTGGGGGTAATTTCTAGCCTGGGTGCCAGGAGGTGAGAAGGGGCTCTCTGGGGAGGGCTAGTGAGGTGTGACATCTAAGCATTCTCCTGTTGTTGCTTCTGCAGTGGAAAACCAGGCACACTGCGACTTTGTGAAGCTGCGGAACATGCTGATCCGGACACACATGCACGACCTGAAGGACGTCACTTGCGATGTCCACTATGAGAACTACCGAGCTCAGTGCATCCAGCAAATGACCAGGTGGGTCCCCACCGCTTCAACTGGAGGTGGCAAGGATGTCTCACTCTCTGCAGAGCTGGGGTTGCTCTCAGAATGGCTCATCGGTCAGGAGGCTGGGGGGTCTGCTGGGGACATGCTGGGCTGCAGCCTGGGGAATGGAAGTAAAATAGCAAATCCAAGTGTGTGTCTCACAGCCTGAGCCCATGGTGGGGATACTGCTGAGAATCGGCTTTTCTATCTGAGAATTCCCCAGGCAGATCTTGGGATATAGGCCTGGACACTTTTTTGTAGAGCTGTTCTTAGCACTGAGTGAAATACATCCAGCCTAATGAAACAGAGGATAAACCATTTCTCTGGTGGGCGAGAGCTGGGTGCATTGCCAAAGAGAAAGGCATTCTGCAGTTCTGTCCAAATGACAGCATGACCCTTGGGATGCTGCTGTTTCTCAGACAACAAAGCCCAGGCAATTAGTAAGACTCTTGACACGTCTCTGGAGATTTCTCTGCGCTGTCTTCCCATTGCATTTGATTCTATGTGGTTTTAGTCACAATGATCAGAAAATATAAGTGAGACCCCTCACAGGCTTCTCATTTGAAACCCCTTTTTTCCCTTCTCTCTTCCATGACTGAAATACTGGTGACAAATTGATGTTTAAGTAGGTCTTGGCCCATCTGTTGCAAACCATCCCCTTCACTTCCTGCCTGAACTGGGTGGGTAGCTCTGTGCTGCCACGTTGCAGAGCAGAAATGGCTGCACTTCACGGAGGAACAGTCCTGCATGTGTGTAAACGTGCAGGTTGGCACATTCTGTTCACACACAGCGTATCTTAGTACTTTTGCATAGCAGACGAGCCTGTCTTCTTCAACAGTGAGAATACAGGGTCCCAAAATAGCTACGTTAAGTGCTAGAGATCCGTGAGAGTGCTAGAGATCTGTGAGTGGTGTCACAGCTGCTGTTTAGGTAGTCTATGCATCTATTAAAAGAAGAGCACGATGAAAAAGCAATTGCTCAGCTTAAGAAAAGCTTAAGTTTGATACTGTTTCTCACACCATGGCTCATTCCTTGCTAGTGAACAAGTCCCGTACAACCAGAGCGTGGCCATTTCTAGCAGTGGGACAAAGTCCTTCTCTAGGAGGGCGTTTGGGAGGAGATCCCAAGCTCCAGGGCTGGAGTTGTCTCAATAATGAACCAGCGGTGACTCCAAGTGGTGAACGCCTGCAAGTGGCATCTTGAATTCCCAGTTTCATCCCAGGCGTCTTTGGCCACTACCATCCCCTCCTCACCTACTGAGAGCTCCTCTGACTTATGGAAGAAGGTCACCTCCTGCCTCTGCCCCTGCCTGCACTCATGAGCACCCTCAGCCCTCATCGCAATGCCGCTCTGCCGTGCCTGTTGTCTCTTGTCTCCCACCTCCTGAATATGAGGGCACGCTTTGTTATCAGACTTGCAGTGATTAAACTGCTCCCCTGGTTTTATCTTCCTGGAAGAAAGAGGACCATGGTGAGCATGTGGTGGTGCCTTAGGGATGCTGATAATTTGTGCTGATGCTGTGTGTATGTGTAGGCACATGCACAGATGAGCCAAAGGAGACCAGAAAAATCAACTCTAAATGTCTCTGCTAAGCTTGCCAATGCAGCTACAAAAGGTGGTCAGAAACATCAGCCCTTTCTGTGTCTGCTCTCAGTGTAAGACTAGTTTGGGTTTTCTCTTTTGGCTACCCACAAGCCAAAAGAATTTTGAAAACTTTTATTGACTTCAGTCTCATTCTGCATCCGAGTGTATCCCACACTTCTGGGCTAGGACGCCCCACAGCCCCTCCACCTGGCTGGGTGCATGCTGCTGCATTGCTGGCAGGTCTGCCATCATGAGTCACCGCCATTGCATGGTGGCACCAAAGCCAGCCAGGCTGAAGCAAGACTGACTGCATTTCTTCCCTCTCTCCATCTCTCTAGCAAGCTGACTCAGGACAACAGGATAGAAAGCCCAATTCCTATCCTGCCTCTCCCAACACCGGACACTGAGACAGAGAAGCTGATCAAAATGAAGGATGAGGAGGTGAGACCCATTTCTGCCTGAGTGTTGGAGCTGGAATTGGGGGTGTTTCTCCATGATTGCCCCATAGAGGCTGTCCTGGAGCTTCCCACTCCTGCCTCCCACCATCATGGACTTCTGGTGTGGAGGACAGGGTTTGAAAGCTGCAGCTTCCTCTGTCAGGGAAATGTGGCTCCATTCTGCCTGAGACACAGATGCCTCCGTGCTCAGGCAGGAGTTAATACTCTCCAAGGGATCCCTTTGTCAGCTCCAAGGGCCTACCTCCAGTGCAGATCACCAGCTCCCGGCCTCAACAGATCCCTTTTTGACTATCTCTTTTCTGTCTCACGCAGTTACGGCGGATGCAAGAGATGCTGCAGAAGATGCAGCAGCAGATGCAGGATCAGTGAGAGGCAGGTACTCGGAGGGCAGAGGGAATCCCCCAGTGACCATCTGAGGCCTGGCAAGAGCTGTGGATGTTTAGAAAAGGTTTCCTGTTGTTTAGAGACTTGTGGGCAAGAGCTGCACCCGCACCCTCTAATTTATTAGCAGCAATGCTGGCCGTGTGGTCAGCTGGATTGTGGAGGAGGCTGTTCACTTAACAGTTCACTGATGTGTATTTCTTTTTTAATAATTATTCTTCCTTTTCTTTTTTCTTTTTTTTTTAAAAAAAAGAAAATAGCCTGGGAAGTCTCTAAGGCATCCTAAAAAAAGAAAAAAAGAAAAGAAAAAGATCTCCCTTTCCCATGTACTAATCTCTTGTTTGGGAATGCTCTGGTATTTAAAGTCCTGGTTTCTCTGGTGTACGAACTTGAAGACTATCTGTGTCAATGCACGTAAATGTTTACTCCCAGCTGAGGTGCTGTGCCCCCCTCCCCGTTCCCCTTGTCTGGGGCCAGCACAAGCATTGTAAATGCAGCCGTACCCTCCTGTGAGTTTGACCTGTGCTGCTCAGCCTCCTCAGCGTGGGGCCAGCTCTGGCCCAGAGAGCTGGGGGTTTCTCTGTGCACTGACCTGCTCAGGGGTCCTAATGGTCGCCTGATTTCCTGCTCGGGTTTTTCGGAGTTTTTTTGTTTAGTTGGTTGGTTTTGGTTTTCCTATCAAGAAACTCCAGGATCTTTGCACTGAGCAGCAAGGGACTGAGTCTCTTGAGGTCAGTTAGAGGAAATGGCTTCCGCTGCTCTCAGTTATGTTTTTCCGGCAGAGAGGATGAGTTATTGACTATTGCTTGCAAGGAGGAGATGATGGGAGTGAGCACCTCCCACGCAGGCCGGGGGTGTTGGTAGAGGAACCCCAGGGCCCTGCAGTAGCTGAGTGAGGGTGTCTCATGGTTTAGTTCTGGTCATCCAGCTGCAGTGTGTCTTCAGCATCTGCTCTGAAAAGCATCACGCCAGCCAGAGTGCTTGGCTTTGGAGGGGTTAGAAACTCCAGGGCTGAAATCCAACCCCAAGTGCCCTACCCCCAGGCTTTGTGGTCCCACAAGCACAGTGCTGGCTCCGGGCCTCTCCTGGGAAAAGGGGCAGTTTCTGTAGGCTTGTATGAGAGATCTACAAGCCGCCTGTCCAGACGGGTGTTGGGTCAGTGTGGCATGTGCAGGAGTATCACTGCGTGGGGCTGAGCACAGCCCAGCAGGCTTGGCACTTGCTCCCCTGCCTTTCCCCTGGGACTTGGCCCTTCTCCCCCTCCCCGGTCCAAGGCTTTTCCTGTCTCAGTGCTCGGAAGGTTGATGGATCTGCTGGGCAGAGATAAGAGCACTCACAGGGCAGCAGCTTCTGTCCTGTTCTTGCTTCCTGCAGTATTTTTAACTTCAGTCCAGCCAGAGCAGAGCCCTGGAGTGCGACGTGCCTGACAGGGCAGGCCTCACCAGCAACACTGCCATGCCCACAGGGAATCAAGGCTGTTGGAGGGAGAGACACTTGGCTCTTCCCTCTGACTCCAGGAAGTGCTGCCATGGGCTGGGCCCTTCTCCTCTGGCTCCCGGACCAATTCCTCTGTCCCTTTTCCCTCTTCATATCTGCTCCTCCATCTCTGGCTCTCCCCAGTAGATCTCCCCAGGTAGGAAGCACAGTGTTGGCCAGGAATAGTCAGGCCCTAAATTCTGTTATTAGGCACTGCATTTGTCTGATTCCCCCTGTGGGGCTTTAGAGTCCTGATCAGGGCTTTTCCAGGCGGTGAGTAGGTTGGCTGGTTCCAGTTATTCACTGTAGAGAGCCTCTGCTTAGCCAGAACATGGGCTGCAGGGCAGGGGAGAGACCCTGGCGCAGTGTGGAAGGACAAAGAGAGGGTGGAAACCCCTTGGCAGAAATTGGCAAGCTTGGCAAGGGCAGTGTTCAACAATATTTGTTTTTCTTTCATTCTCCCCTGTACTGGGCTCATAAGTGACAGTAGCAGTGCCAGCCTAGGAGAGGGGAAGGGTTCAGCTTGTCTTCTGTAACATGCAGGACCAAGGTGTTTAAGAAGGAAATGCAGCCTTTGTGCTATGTGCTTACTTGAGCAGTGGAGTAGCCTGAAACGGGAGCTTCGTCCACATTTTCTGGAGCTGGTTTGCTGCTGTCCGAAGCAGGAGGACTGCTGAGTTTTCAGCTTTATCTGTGCTAGCATAACTGGCAACACCTTGCAGTACCTGTCCCCTCTTTTCTTACACTAGTCTTGTCTGTGAGGAGGACGTTCTGGACGTTCTGTTGCAAATGAGCCTTGTCCAGCTGGAGATGTTCCTCTTTCAGATTGATTCCTAGACGGTAAAGGAGACCTTTACCCTTTAGCATAGACACAGAGAAGCTGACAGCTTTTATCCAGGGCTGTGTGCAGAAGTGCTGTGTGCTGGTGAGAGCACTGGGTACGCTGGTCACAGGCAGGCAGGATTGCTGAGGCTGAATTTGCCCCTGTCCCTCTGGGTGAGGAAGTCTTCATCAGCTCAGTGCGCATGGCTCCTACATCAGGTCGACAGTCACAAGTCTGTCCGTTACAGAGAGAGGAGGCCTTCGGCTGACAGCTAGCGAAGATGGTTCAGGCTGCACTTCAAGTAAAATGCAGAGGAGTGAGGCACCAGAGATGGCTTCTGCAGAGGGGCAGTGGTACTGCTGAAATCACGTCCCCGTGTGGGGGGTTTCCTGCCCAGAGCACCAGAGTTTGGGGGCTGTCCAGAAAGGGACTAGAGACTGACTTTGGGGGGCACCAGGGATTCAGGCTCTGGCCTGGAAGGTGGCATCTGTTTATTAAAGGAGTGTTTTGTACTGCTGCGTTGAGCTGCACAGTGAGCGGAGAAGAGACTCCTGAACAAATGTAGCTCTGCCATTTGGCTCTGGCAGTGAGAAGTGTGGGTAGGAAAGTAATTTAACACCTCCCCTCATGAAACCCTCCACAGCCTTATATGTGACCCCCGCACCCCCGGGCACATTCCCATGCCTCTGCCAAGCTTTGCCCTGCTGAGTGAGTGGCTGCAGGGGTGGTGTCCCACTCCACAGAGCTATCCCAGGCTGCAGCTGGGGCTGTCGGTACAACATCTTGGACCTTGTGCCTGGCCGGGCAGGGAGTCGTGGCATGAACTCCATGTGTGCCCCTGCTGTGCTGGTCCTGCCTGTGCAGTCCTTGCTGCCTCCCTGCATGCCTCCCCCCAGGAAGGAGGGGGTCCCGCTCTTCATGCTCTGCAATGGCGTTCGCGGCTCCTCCTCACAAACCCTGCTGTGCTTTAACGCTGGCTTGCTCCTGCCACGGAATTTCCTCACCCCCTGCTCCATTCCTAGGCTCTTTGTTTCCTGTCCATCTGTTGGGTTATTATAATATATTTTTTTTTGTAAATTTCTGTTTGAACATTTTGTCATTGTGAACAAAGAAAAATGAAACCTTTTAAAACATATCCATTTTATTAAATGATTATTATTATTATTAATAATGTTTACTACCTGAATTGATCAGTGAAATAAATACATTCAAAAAACAACTTCTTTCTGTTTAATTTTCAGTCCCTTTGAGCAGCATTGGTGATACATTATCGGCAAGAGAGAGCAAAAGTGTTGCTCTTTCTCCTTTTATCTAATTCTGTCAGAGCAGGCTCTAGGCAGGACTTCCTGCGTGGGACTTCTGGCCTGTGTTTATGTCAGAAGCTAGAAGAGATGATCTTGAAGTTCTTCTATCTTTAAGCTTTGCCTAGGAGCAGTGCCTAAATCAGCAGTGGGCAGCTGGGCAGGATCCAGTCCCAGGAAATCCGTTTTATAAGTAGCCAGAGGATCATTGCTGAGTCTGTGCTGCATGCAGAGCTGGGATGGGTCTGGCTCTAGATCAGCCCTGTGCCACACCTGGCCTGCGAATAAATGTAGCACCAAATGCATGAGTCAAGCTGTGGCAGTCAAGCTGGTCCCAACTGGAAAGCAGGCGCTGCAGGAAAAACTGGGTTCGTTTGCTGGCCTAAGATCTCTTTCCCACTCTGCCTGCCTGCCACAGTGGAACAACTGGAATGATCTGCTCCAACTTAATAGAAATTTAAAGCTTAATTGTTTTGTTTAGAGCATCAGAGATTTCCCCTTGGTTAAGGCCAAGTTCTGCTGTTGTTTACACCCTAAATTCTCTTAACATCAGCACATTCAGAGTGTTCATTATTTCTGCTCTGTACAGTGTGCACAGTACAAGGTAATGGAGAGTCAGGCCTAATGGGGCAACAGTTTCACAATGTAATTCTGGTGGCCTTATGCTCAGGAGCATAGCCAATGCCTACAGTCCAGCTGATGGCAGAAAAATGTCTGTGAAGGTGCGATGGCCTGGAGAAGACAAGATTCTGTCTAAATGTAGTTTTGACCCTTGGACTTGCCTGTTCAAGTATTTGTGTAATGCAACTTCTGAACAAAGGATGTGGTCAGTCTTTCTCAGTAACTGCAAGCTACACTCAGCGAGAGCTGCCGACTCACTTGGCTCTCAAAAGAGCAGTCCCTCGGCACACTGTCTTTCCCAGTCCATTGTCCTTCCTGTGCATCTAACTAGTTTATTTTGATGCAGACAGTGAAACGCCAGGAGTTACATTTTACTCCGATAACCATCATGAGAGGATGCAAGTATCTGGAGAATCTTTCTCCTTAGCTCAACTATTGATACCCGTGTGGTCACTGGAAGTCCATTTCTTTCAGCAGATCTTCCACTGCTAATTAGGAGTAGATTTGTGTCACTGCCTCGAGGGAAATCTTGGGGTCAGCACACTGCAAAGTGCTAGGTCTCACCGCTCTGCCTAATACAGTCTTCCTGATGAAATGGGAAACCAAAGGCCACAGTGCTCAAGGAGTGCAGGACAAACTAGTAATGTCACCTCCCAGGTTGAAATGCATTTTGAGTTACTACTTTGCAACAGAGACTTTGCAGTGTTTCTGTTGGGCTGAGCATGTGGGCCCAGAATCACAGTTATCAGTACTGTCAGCACCTCTCCCAGCAGATGTGTTCTTGTGAGCAGTGTCGGCTCCCATTTCTTGGAAGACTTGCTCAGTGAAAACTCAGCTTCCGGTGACATGCAGCAAACTTGCAGGAAGGCCTCATGTGGGAGGTGTCCCTGGGATGAGCCTAACCCTTATCTTGCCAGCCAGCTGCAAGGGGTTTATCCGGGAGCTCAGCTATGCTGCTGCAGACACTCTTGCACTGGCTGGACTGCCTTAAGACCTTCTTCTTGTGTTGTAAAGTCAGCAAGAAAGCAAGGATTGAACTACTCTGGTAAGTCAACAAAGCTACCTTCTGT